AACATGTGGAGGTTCACGCAGAGTGGCAGGCTAGGATAGCACACGAAGTTCTGCACCCTTTCCCGGGACCCTGCCCTCTGCATCTCTTCCATCTGGCTGTTCCCAAGTTCTATCTTTTCATAATAAGCAACCTAGGGAGTAGAGAGCCTTCCTGAGGAGGAGGGGGTTGTCAGAAGCAATCTGTAGAACCAGTTTATCACCTGGACTTGTCACTGGCATCTGCGAAGGGGAGGGGGCAGTCTTGTAGGACGGAGTCCTTATTCTATGGGATTGGATACTATCTCCAGGTGTAGAGTCAGAATTGAGATGAAATGTCTGACGCCAGCTGGTATCCTAAAATTCCTTGGTGGTGTGGAAAAACCCCTCCCACACATAGGAATTGGGTCCAAAACCTCAATAGTTGGTGTCAGAAGAGGTATTTGGCTAGACCAGCCCTGGCTCATTGAAAGGTGTAGCTTAGGAAGAGCAGGGAGGAAAGGATAAGGGCTGAAGAACCTTTGGTTGCTGGGTGGTCACTGCTGGAATGGAGCAGCATCTGGGCTGCACTCTGTCACTAAAGGTAAAGTTAACAATGGAAATTAGAGATGGAGCCATCTCCTGGAAAGTTGGTTTACTGAATACATAAAGAAATGCAAACTATTAAGAAAAAGGCAAAACAGTCCAACACTTGGTTGTTGTTATCTACCATAGCTAAAGTAAAAGTAAAAGACAATGCTGGTATGCTAGCAGGGACTAATTTCCTGTGCCATTGCCCCATGTGGAGCTTAACTGAGGAGTATGGCAAAAATCTGAGTGTGCCTGGCGACCTCTACTGGGGCTTGGGAGTAGAATATTTCCATCTGGGGGGCATTTACTAGTAGACATTATTAAAACTACCCCTTTTACTGAAGGACATAAAATGATTTTGAAATGTGAAATACCCATAATGTCTAGGATGCTGTGGGAGAAACATCCTAACAGGGATGGCAGTGGTTTATGTAGAGGGTCATGATGCCTAGGGAGACAATCATGAACAAGGCACCTCTTTTTCTCTAGGACTCACTTTGAGGCCATGGGAAAAGCTGTAAGAACCAACTGCAATGTAGACAGTGCCCTGTGAACAACTCTCAACAACACAGAGCTAGCTGCTCGGTTTGTGGACAGCAATTCCAAGGTGAGCAGACAACAGTGTATCTGGAAGGCCACCACCCTAATGGAGAAAGGTTAAAAATAATCAGCTCTGCATGGTGAAATGCACCCTATTTTCTCAGCAGTGATAGGAAAAATGCCCCATGTTTCGGTTTTTACTGACTCAGAGGCAGCGGCCAATGGTCTGGCCACACGGTCAGGCAGGAAGGTGTAATGGGAACATAACATATTTAAACGATGCCCCTATGGGGCACAGGCCTGTGGAAATCACTCTGAGAATTTGAGGGGTACAGTGAAGTAGGACACGATCCCATTGGAACTTCCAGGTTTGGAAGGTGAGTGGAACGGACAAGCCAATATCCCTGCCTTAGGTGGCCACCTGGGTCCACAATAAAAGAACCAAAATAGAAGGTGATATTGTACCAATTTGGATGGCTGAGCATCCTATCTATCTTCAGAGCAGGAAATACACCTGACAGCTCATTCTACTCTGACAGAGAATGGAACCGGGCAGTTGAAAGCCTGGTGGTCTAAAGTGGGGCCGAGAAAGGCATAAAGCTGCTGGCTTACATGACTTCAGGAGCGTGACACACAACATGAGTGGGATGAAAAGGAGTGTCCCTACTGGACACACCCCTCTGTTTTCCTGTGGATCTGGGGCAGGGGGTGGCCAAGGATGATGGTAATGACTGTGCAATTCCGGCAAAAGGAGGAGGCTGCTGATAAAGTGACTTTTTTTCCTTCCCCAGATCACGTCAACTTTTCATTCCCATGTGATGTTGCAAATCCAGATGTGGGAAACGGATGATTCCTAAGCAAGAAATGGTAAGTCTGTTTTTAACCTTTATGTTATACTTCCTAAGGGCCTGAGGGGCAGGGATGTGCCTCTCTCTCTGGCAGAACTGGGGCCACAGCGCAGGTGGCGACACGGCCCGTGGCGGAGCTGGCTCACTACAGGCGTGCGTCCTTCCGTCGCACCTCGCTTGAGTGGGCTTTGCAGAGACTGCATTTTTTAGAGACCTGTGTCAACAGAGTTGCTACACACTTTTCCAACAGCATTTGTTCACTTCTGGTCATATCCAGGTTATTCTCAGAATATTTCAAACTTTTTCCTTATTTATTACAGTGATCTGTGATCGGTAATTACAACTTGCTGAAAGCTCAGATGATGGTTAGAATTTTTAGCAATAACATTTTTTAATTAAAATGTGACCTTTTTAAAATATAATGCTATTTCAGATTTAACAGACTATAGTATAATGTAAACATAACATATATGCACTGAGAAACCGAAAAATACACTTGCCATACTTCACTGTGATACTGGCCTGATCTCCACGGTTGGACCCAAACCTGCAGAGTGTGAGCTGTGCCTGCAGTTCGGCCAGAAGTGGACTGAGTGGGGAGGCACTTGCAGTCTAGACTAGTAGTGCTGCCTCTGACAAGACCAACATAGACTAAAAGTAACGTGTGTCCAACAGGTAGAAAGTTTGGGTATAGACTGAAAACAGGATAACCTGTAGCTGTGGGTAAAGGATTGAATTAATGGGTTATACAATGAGGGAAACGGAATGTTACGCTAACACCTCAAAAGAGACTCAGGATAAGAGATGACACAGTCTCTTTGCTCAATTACTCCACCTGTGTACAAGGGTGAAGCCGTATTACTGCTCCCACTCCTGTTTTAGGAACCTGACAAAATAGAACAGAAGGCTGCAAACCTGAGTGGCCTTTCCCTGGGACACATTCTGACAGCATGTGATGACAGACTGGATAGTTATCAATTACTGACTTAACGTGCAAGTTATCTTTTGACCTTTGTGATTATTCTGCTGTAAGGAATCTGTTTGAAGACCAGGGCTGGTGTGTAATGCTATGGTTTATAATAAGGAATACATATTTGATCTTGGACTCCAGTTTGTGGCACAGTACTCCTAACAACCTTGTAATTTTTTAAGCAGGAAGACAAAGGTGTCTTTTGTTAGAGATGACATCCTTAAGGATGAGTGCCAAGGAAGGCCACCATGTGATTAGAGGGCTAGAACTTTCTGTCTCATTCTCCCCCACAAGTCAGGGAGGGGTGTGCAGGTGGGAGAGGGTCTGGAGGTTGACCCAGTCAACAAATGCCACTGATTCAATCATGCCTATGTAACAAAGTCTCCATAAATCCCCAAAAGGATGGGGGATGGGTTTGGGAGAGCTTCTGAGTTAATGAACATGACAGATTTGCGAATAACGAAGGGTTCAGAGGGCATGGAAGCTCTGTCTCCCCTCCCCATACCTTGCCCTTTGCATCTCTTCCAATTGGCTATTATGAGCTGCTCTAGCAAATTAATTGAACCCAAGGAGAGAGGTCATGAGAACTTCTGGTTTATAGCCAAACAGCTAACAACCTGAACTTATGATGTCTGAAGTGGGAGGTGGGGGAGACAGTCTTACACCTGTAGGATCTGATGCTATCTGTAGGTTAGGGTTAGAGATCCTACAGATGTAAGACTGTTGAAATGCAGGACACCCAGCCAGTGTTGGAAAATTGCTTGGTGGCATTGCAGGGGGGGCAACCCCCCATATTATAATTGGTTCTAGAACGCTTTGTAATGTTCTTGTAATACAATTTATAATTTTATCTATTAATTGTACTATTAATTTTGACATTTAGGTCTGAAGTGATAGTATATTGTAATTTTTTGGGGGGGTAGTTTAGGCTAGTCTCATAAAATAAAATGGAAAACTTTGTCACTATTTTCAGAATGAAGAAACTGACAGTATTTGCTGTCTCTGAAGTCAAAAAGTCAGTTTCATGTGGTTCATTCAACCTAATATTTGAATCAACTATGGCAATTTTTATTTTCCTAGAAAATCAGCACTTCATCTAATTTCTTGATTTAACAGTCTGTATAGTATTCACTGAAAATCACCTTCATATTGGGACGAATTTAATGTTACCATCTATAAATTTCTCTGAACTTTTGAAAGGAAATTAATTAAGTAAAAGGTTCAGTAAAATTTAAAAATTCCAAGCATGAATTCTTCAGCCTCATGAAAACTGTAAAGCCCTAAGAGAGCCACTGGTTGCTTTCAGGGATTCTATAAACATAAAAGCCAAATTTATACTTGAGAACATTCATGCATTTTCTTGGGAGAGAATCCAATAGCTTTTATCAGATTCTCAAATGCCTAAGACCCAAATCACTTTAAGAGACAGTTTTGAAATGACATTTAAGAACAAATGTGATGAAAATTTTATGAAATGGAAGGAAAACATCAACAAAATGCCCTTTTACATGGAGTACTAAGTCTCCCACGTAAACCAATATTTACATTCTATTTTGTTCAAGAAAGGACGAAAGGTAAGGAACCAATCATTATACATCATGCTTCCATTCTTCTAAAATCTATGTGACAGGTAAACTAAGAGTTATGCTTTCAACAAACCTAAAGACATGTGCTTTTCATGTAAGGTTTCTAAACAGGTTTCCACCTGTTAACAAAAGATGAACAAATAAACAAAGACAAAAGATACGGAAGTAATGGGGGAACCAAAATGGTAGATAATGAAAAGTAAACAGACCACTAGCAGAAGACGTAAATCGTTTTTCTGCTCTTACAGTAGTGAACAGAATCATAAAAACAAGAAGAAAATAGTGATTAAGCCTGTCACGTATTACCTTTTCAAAGATAGCTGGAAAAGAAAAGGAGGAAGGTACTCAACAACATGAAAGAAACTGGAAACTGAAAAGCAAAGAGAAAAGGCTAAAAGTGAAAAGAAGCTGCAAAATCAAGAATACGTACGGCCTATCTCACACAAACTTGTATTCTGAAAACAGTATTTCAAGTTTCTCTGGAGTATGATGTAAAAGGAGAAAACGAACCTGCTGTACAAATTCCAAAGGCACGGGTGTGGCCTGTGTAAAGGTCTCTAGGTGAATGCCATGGACGGGGTCCTCCACTATCAAACAGCCAATGTCAAACCACCTGCAACAGAATGATGAGGACTGAGTTGTTTACATGCCAAATAAAGGTTACGGTGACCAAACAACAACTAGTATCATTCAGATAAAACATTAGAGTTCAAAAAGGAAGTGTTTTTTCTAATCAGTTTTCAAGAGGATAATCCATAAAAAGTATATATAAAATGACCTGCTGGCTTAATTCCAAGAGGAGGGAGGACAACAAAGAAAAAACACCTGAAACTTATCCACATAAAGTTTTCCTCGCTGAGACTAAGGGAGGATGGAAAGAGGAGGATTCAAAAAAGCAACAGATAGTCACTCATCTGAATATGCAAATACTTGATCACGGGTAACTTTTTAAAAATGTCACTTGCTAAAATACAGGAAATTTTATTTTACCATCTCTATGGTTACTATGTAGCCCACTTGCAAAGTTACTAGCAAATTAAATAAGCTCATTCAGAGGAAATAACAAATCTTTATTCCTGATAATCTGTCTTTGAAAACACTTCATGAAATCAAGAAAACTTTCTTCCATTTAAAGTCACTCACAAATTATAAAAATACATTTTATAATTGCCTTAAGTCATCTGTAATGCCACCAGCATTTTAGATAACCAGAATTATGCAACCACCAGATGCCATGAAATCATGAGTTTGGATAACAAGAGGATATATAGAGCAAAAAAGTTCAGTCTATTTTTAAAAATATGTAGATCTAATGAAATGCGATAAAATACAAAATGAATTAGGTAACTTCTATTTACATATTCAAAGAAAGAGCAAAGTAAAATATAGAATAACAGTTTTGCTGAGAATTAAAGTGATAGCAGGTAATGTCTGTAGTATTCCTATCCTAAAACTTGGTTTCAAATAAACAACATTAAATAAGGACATGAATTTTATTTGGCATACTAATCAGTCACATGCAGATAGTAGAGAACAATCGTGGTGATTAAGCTGTCAGGCATGGACTTCCTGAAAAGCAGACTCACGGAAGGTAAAAGTCCCTTCTGTGATGCTGGTGATACACATTAGAAGAATTCGAAGGTCCTCTTTGTTATCTGAAATTATCATGCTCTTGGCCATATGAACTGGAATATCCCACTTAGTAGCTACAACTGCAACCACGGTCATGCCCAAGAAAACCTCTACCATTTCTCTCATTAGTGCTGCTGGCTGGGGAAACACTGGGCTCAGCTCTCCTCTCCTCGTTACTGTCCTTCAACTCCACGGGCACGCCCCGCCCCACCCCACATTCATGGACAGTCACTAAGGCTCCATCTCCCTCCCTTTCCCTCTCCAAGCAGCTGCTGAAAGAACTCCGACGGATCCCACAGGGGTCACTTTGACTAAAAAAGGGCTTAAGAAGAACTGTGGTTCCAAGATGCTTGGATTTCATTTACCAGCAAAAATCTCGTAACAGAATGTGGGAACTGCCACTCTGTTTTACAAAAGATAGACCATCTACCACCATCGGTCAATTCTCAGATAAAAAGGACATTTTAACACACCATGCACACAACCTAAGATTTTTCAACTTGGTGGGTTAACCTCAGAATAAGGATGGTCCATGCTTACACAGGTTTTTGTCCAGGTAAGGTACACGTCATGTTAGTTTTTCTCATATAGCAGGATCTGAGGTAGAATTCAAAGACAGGCAAGTCTGTCCTAGCTCTATTCTTTGTTAGGGCTAAACCCATTTTGGGATCTCTTCTTTTGAATGTCTGGCTCTTCCTGGATTAGTTTTTTCTCCGTTGTAAGCATGTTTTTGACTTTATCTTCTGTGCACTCATTTCCCACAGGACCACGGCAGACAGAAGAGCCAAAGCAGGAACGATCAAGAGGTATGGATTCTGGCTTTGCTCTCCGTTCACATGTCCTCACTCTTGCTCCTCTGTACCTTCCCATCACAGCCCTTCCATTCTCTCCTCTTTAATCCGCACTAGACACCAGGCATTTCCTGATACTAGAGTTTACCCCTGAACAATGTGGAGGTTTAGGGTTGCTGTGACCCCTTGGTGCAGTTAAAAATCTAACTTTTGACTCTCCAAAAACTTCTAACAGCCTACTTTTAACCAGAATTCTTACTGATAAGTCTATTAATACCTATTTTGTATGTAACATATTTAATATACCGTATTCTTACAATAAAGTGAGCTAGAGAAAAGAAAACCACAGGAAGAAAAAATACATTTTTAGTACTGAACTGTATCAGAAAAACCCAGGTAAGTGGATCTGTGCAGTTCAAATCCATAGTTTTCAAGAGTCAACTGTTTTTTACTATCCCTAATCTTCCTAATATGCTACTGTACTTGTCAAAAGGCATTTGGTAGGAAAAATACCACATACCACATCCAGGTATGATGGGACAGTTGATGGCAGACCAATGCTCCCAATGAAAAGCTGGATGAGGTACACAGTTCCTGCACCTAAAGGTGTCAAAGAGCCAATTGGGGCAGGAGGACAAAATGGAGTAACACTGGGGATGGGGAAAAGCTTTCAGAGTGAGGTGAAGACCTTCAGCTGGACCTGAGTGCCACCCAGCCTGAACTCAGCAACTAGACGAGAAGTGAAGGAAACCCACCGCTAACACCTCCCTAAAGGTAGGGAAATGGTTAGAATTTTCTCTGGGGTTGGAGGTGCTCAGGAGAACCATGATGTACGTTCCCTTTCCACCCTGACAATGCAGACAGGAGCAGAGTCGGGCATTCTAGCCAGACGGCTACTTAGTGATCCCTGTGCCCCAGTGCACACACACCCGCTCAAGTTAGCCTGCCACGGCAGCCCCAGCGCCGGGCACAGCGGGACATGCCAAGGCTCGTTTATACACATCGGCCACACAGGGAACATCCCTACGAAAGGTCACCCTTTCAAGACTGGGAGAGGTAAGTGTTTTGCCTAAATCACAAAGTCAAAATGAGGAGACAGGAATATGCTTAAATGAAACAGAGATTCAGTCTACTGGATAGAGTGCATAAATTCAGAAAATATAAAAAAGAGCCAATCAGAGTTAAATACAATGAGTGAAATGACAAATACACTGGAGGGAAGCAGCAGGAGAGGAGAGGACGTGGCAGAGCAGTGATCTGGAAGACAGGGTATCATAAAGCAGCCAAGCCGAAGAGCAAAAAGAAAACCAAATGAAGATAGGTCACATGGTCTCTGGGACAACCTTAACCATACTATACATATACTCGCATTATAGGGGTCCCAGAAAAGAGAGAGAAAGGAGCTAAAAACTTCCCTAACCCACGGAAGCAAACAGAGATCCAGGTCCGAGAATCACAACCCAAAGTAAGATGAACCCAAGGAGGTCCACACCAGGAAACATAAACAGAATATCAAAAATTAAAGAGAGGATCTTAAAGCCATCAAGAGGGAAGCACCTAGTTATAGACAATACAAGGGAAACCCCATAAAGCTACCAGAAGATTTCTTAACACAAATTTTGCAGAACAGAAGGGACTGGAATGATCTAGTCAAAGTAGAAAGAGGAAAAAACCTACAATCAGGAATACTCTACCTGATGAAGAGGTAAGTAATTGATCACCGCTAAACCAACCTTTTAAGAAATGTTAAAAAGACTTTTCTGAGAAAAGAAAAGGCCATGCCTAGAGGTGAAAACTAGAAAAGGAAAAAATTTCACAGGTAAAAGCAAACACACAGTAAAGGAAGTAGATCAATCACTTACACAGCTATTGTGAACATTAAAAGGCAAAGTAGTAAAATCAATCATATCTACACTAATTAAGAGATACAAAGATTCACAAAATAAAAAGATACAAAATATGACATCATATACATAAAAGAGGAATGAGTAAAGTGCTTTCTGAATGTGTCTGAACTTAACAGATCAACTTCATAGACTGCATAACTTAAAATGTTATATAGTAATCTCATGATAACTACAAACCCAAAGCCTATTATAAATACACAAAAAATAAAACTACAACATAATACTACAGAAAGTCATCAGTCAAAATAAAAGAGAAGGGAACATGGCAGAACTACAGAAACTACAAAACAATGAAATGGTGGTGAAGTCTGCACCTATCAGTAACTACTTCAAATGTAAATGTCTAAATGCTCCAATCAAAAGACATAGGGTGACTGGATAAAAAACAAGACCCATCTATATGCAGCCTAAAGGAGACTCACTTTATACCTACAGACACACGGAGACTTTTAAGTGAAGGGATGGAAAAAGGTATTTCATGCAAATGGAAGCAAAAAAAACAAAAACTGGGAAGCATGACATGTATCAGAGCAAACAGATTTTGAAACAAAGACTGTAATAAAAGACAAAGAAGGCATTACATAATAATAGTAATGGGATCAATCCAACAAGAGAGTAGAATAATGGCAATTATCTGTGTACCCAACACTGGAACATCGAAATATGCAAAACAAGTATTAGCAGATCTCAAGGGAGAAAGTGACAGTAAAACAATAACATTAAGGGATTTTACCCCTCCCCCACTTATATCAATGATCATCCACACAGAAAATCAGTAAGAAAATGGTGGCTTCCAACCAGATGGATTTATTAACACATCTATATACAACATTCCTTCCAAAACCAACTGAAGACATTCTTTTCAACAGCAAATGGGGGCGCCTGGGTGGCTCAGATGGTTAAGCGTCTGCCTTCGGCTCAGGTCATGATCCCAGGTTCTGGGATCGAGTCCCACATCGGGCTCCCTGCTCTGTGGGAAGCCTGCTTCTCCCTCTGCCTCTCTCTCTCTCTCTCTGTCTCTCATAAATAAATAAAATCTTTAGAAAAAAAAAAAACAAAAAACAGCAAATGGAATGTTCCCAGGATAAATCATATGTTAGGCCAAAAACAAGTCTCAATAAATGTCAGAGAAAATCCTATCAAGCACCCTTTCCTACCATAAGGCTATCAAACTGGAAATCAATTACAAGGGAAAAAAAACTAGGAAAAACAGGAACACATGGAGGCCCAACAATATGCTACTTACTAAACCAAAGGGTCAACATAGAAATCAAAGAGGAACT